CTCTTCAAAAAGTGCATTAAAATGCACAAGGACTAACTCTCTTTCTCTCTCTCTCTCTCTCTCTCTCTCTCTCTCTCTCTTTCTCTCTCTCTCTCTATCTCTCTCTTTCTTTTAGCTCAATATAGGCGATTAGGGTTTCACACAGGGGAGTAAGGTGGCTGGTAAGGTGGAAATGTAGGCTTATGGTCCTTTAAATACGACCTAACCCCGGAGAATTAGGGTTTCCTCTCATAGCGCCAACTCGCCGAGTTGGTTTTTCTGACTCGTCGAGTTGGTTATAAAACCTAAGTGATCAATTCGCCTCTACTCGATGAGTTGGGGAATCCAACTCGTCGAGATGATCAAACAACTCAAAATAAATTTATAAATATTATACCTGGGAGTCGGGATGTTACAAAGCTACTTAACCAATTTCTAGGATAAAACCCTATTTTACCCTTTTCTTTACTTGGCCAAAAACCAAGGCCCAACCCAACTACTTAAAAGGCCTAAATTCCTTAAATGGCATCATAAGGCCCATTAAAGTCCAACTTCCAAATTGGGCCTAAAAATCATCATGGACCTAATTCCAATGAATGCCCAATATCCATCTATGACCCACAGTCGGAGGTCCAATAGCCTAACAAGGTCCACACCCTAATAGTCCAAAATAGCCCCGAGTCTAATGGCCCAAACAGAGAAGCCCACTGCACCGAGTACGCTTGGCATACTCCGCGTATGCACGGCATACAAGTGTTGACTCGAAATCGGGCAGCTGACCTAGTACGCGCAACGTACTAGGGGTTACGCCCCGCATACTGGCCAGAGTCTCATTTTGCCAACTTTATCTTAACCACTTAAGCTCTTAATGTTAAAAGCTCAAATCTACTTCATTTCAAGGCATCAATGGATAAAGTTAGCAACTTTATCATCTTGCATGACTTAATGGAACCCTAAAACTGGATTTTGTCCATTAAGACCCATAATAAGGGCTCAAACTCATGCAGGGACCAAATATGCTTCATCAAGATGAGACCTTTTTACACAAGGAACATCATAGGGGCTAAGATCTAGCATCCTATCCCATGGAGAGACTCAAACTCCCAAAGAGAACCATAAGACAATAATAAACTTAAAAACAATCCCTAATCTCAAACTAACACAAAGAGGTTCTAAGATAATTACTTTATAGCTAGCAAACTTGATGAAGATTCTGGATCTACAACTTCAAGTCCAACCAAAGCTTGGTTGCTAAGCACCACCTTCTTCAATATACACCAAAACAACACAAAAACCACTTCCAAAGCTCAAAAACACACTAAGGGAGGCTAGGATTTCGATCTTAAGGTATTAGGGAGTAGATACTGACCAAATGATACAACCAAGGCAACATAAGTTGCTTAAATAGGGCACATACCCTAAAAATTAGGGTTTGCCCATGCTTAGCATACGCCTAACGTACTCCCACGTACGCCCAACGTACGTGGGTGGATCCCGCGTCCAGACATGAGCTAGTACGCTAAGTGTACTAATAGAGTACGCCCCACGCACTAGCTAGGGACCAAAAAGATAGACATTTTGCAATAAGGGGCTAAAAGGAAACTTACCAAATTACGAATGTTACATTATATGCCTTAGATTTGAATAAGGAGTGTTGTATTGATGATAAGTGGGTATATGAGAGGTGGTTTTTTCTTGGCATCATCCTTTTCGTGAAGGAGAAGGTACGGCTTCTCAATTGGTGGATCTTATGGATTTATTGAACCAAGTACATCTTAGTAATTTGTCCATATAAATGGGAATGGGAAATTGGTGGTCATTGGAGTTTTGATGTAAGTAATATCAGAAGACATATTGACTATTTTATTTTGTAGGAAGATAATGTCCAAATTAGATGGTGCATATTGTTTCTTATAAAGCCCAGTGTTCTTATTTGGCAAATTCTTCGTGATAGGTTACCGACTAAAGAGAACTTGGTGATCAGAGGCATAATATTCATTCTATGTTATGTCTTATGTGCTCTCTTCAAAGTGAAGATTGTAGTCATGTGTTTGTGAAATATGAAGTAGCTAATTAGATATGGAATAAGGTTCTTAAGTGGCGGGATCTTTCGTTTTTGTTGTTCAATAATGTGTTGGAGTCATTACTTTGGATTGAGGTGATGAAGTTAAAGAAGAAAAAGAAAAAGTGGTAGAGATTATTTGTATCATGGTTATCTAGGCGTTGTAGCAGTATCAGAATAGTGTCGTGTTTCAAACTTTAAAAATGCAAAAGAGTAATAGTTTCTAAAGTATTGTTATACATGTTTTCAATTGGTTTTCTGATAGGAATAAAATATATGAAATTTTTTGGTTAATGGATGAAAAATATCTAGCTCTATGTAATTGTTTTTTCTTGCTAGCTTTTTGCTAGTGGTGTTTTTTTATAAAATTTAGGTGTTAAAAAATAGTATTAATATCAAAATCAATAATAATAATAATAATAATAATAATAATAATAATAATAATAATAATAATAAAACAAAAGTAAAATACACTTAATTAGTTTTCCAACATATGTTTGAGCGTATTTACTTTTTGGAAAAGCACATCCCGCAAAACGTGACTCCGTGGTTTCTTTACGTATTCATTCTTGTGAGATGTGAGATTCTCATGACACGGTGAAAAGTTTTGTAATAATTATTAATTTATTATGATATGTCACAAAACATGATCCAACCTATTTTACCTAAAACATTTTTTCCCATTAAGTAAAAAGAAACCTATATTGTTGAAACAATACGAATTATTATCTGAGATTGGAGTCGACATACTTTATTCGCATGTGATAGTCGTTGTCACCTGCTACAAGTCAAAAGATGAGATTGAACATAACCATAAAAAGGTATTCCCAAAGTAAAACTTGGTATTTATATAAATAAGAACTTAACTTCATTATTTTATATAGCTTTGATACTTTCATCCGAACTTTTTGCATTTATCATCTTGAAAGTGGTTTGAGAAAATTCTATAACCGGTTTAAGAACCGAAACTAGAATAATTGAAGACCGATTAAAGAGTAAACAATGAACTGATAACCGGTTAAAGTTTCGATTCATTTTTTCAGGACAAAATTACAAAAATGGTCCCTATGGTTTTCCAAAAGTTACAAAGTTAGCTCCTGTTAATTTTTTTTTATGCAAATGGTCCTTGTGGTTGGCAAAACTTGCAAAGATGGTCCTTTTTACTAACACCGTTAGTATTGAGCTGTTAGGAACTGAATTTGTAAGGGCATTTTCGTCTTTTCAAGTATAAAAAGACTGAATTCGTGATATTGGATAAACCACAGGGATCATTTTCGAAGTTTGTTTGAAAAAGTAAAATAATTAGCTTAAGGATGAAGGGGGCAAGGCTCAAACTTGAGACCTCCCCCTTATATCACAAAGGCCCTTACCAATTGAGCCAAAAACTTTTTTAGTTATATCTTTCGAAAGCTATTTTACATAATAACGAAAATGTTAATTCATAAATAATAAATAAATTACAAAAAACAATTTTTTTATATTATTTTTTTAAATAAAGCAAAATGTATTTTAGCTGTATTATAAAAAAATAGTTTTTTACAAACAATTTGTATGTATTTTTATGTATTTATTTTATGTAAAATATATTATTTTATGTCTCTAAAAAATACGTTTTCGTATAAAAAAAATATGTTTCCGTATAAAAAATATGTTTTCGTAAAAAAAATTATTGTCTTTGAAATAATAATAATTAACACTACTCATGACATAAAAAATGTATAAATTCTTTGGGTTTGCTAGTTCTAAAACTGTTTTTTCGGTTATATGTATTAAAAACAACATAATAACGATTTTGTTATGTATTAAAACAATTTATACAATTTTTTATGTCAAGAGTAGTATTAATTATCATTATTTCAAAAAGATATATCATTATTTCTTTTCTTTTTTCATTTTATCAATACGATTTTGAACTTGCGATTAAGATGAAATGCGTATTTTAAATAATATATATAACCAATTAAATTTTTTATGCTTTTTTAGATACATATAACTGAAAAACGGTTTTCAGAAAAATGATTGGACCAATTCGGTTATCTATCTTATTTAAAATACGTATTTCATCTTAATCGCAAGTTTTAAATCGTATTATTAAAATAAAGATGAAAAAAATAATGATATATCTTTTTGAAATAAAGATAATTAATACTACTCTTAACATTTAAAAAAACCGTATAAATTTTTTAGATATATAACAAAAATCGTTATTATGTTGTTTTTAATACATATAACCGTAAAAAAATGTTTAAAAACTAGCGACCCAAAAAATTTATACAAATTTTTTGTGTCATGAGTAGTGTTAATTATTATTATTTCAAAGATATGAAAAAATATATTTTACGAAAACATATTTTTTATACGAAAACGTATTTTTTAGCGACAAAAAAATATATTTTACGTAAAATAAATACATAAAAATACATACAAATTGTTTGTAAAAAACTATTTTTTTTATAATATAGCTAAAATACATTTTGCTTTATTTAAAAAAATATAAAAAAATTGCTTTTTGTAATTTATTTATTATTTATGTATTAACGTTTTCGTTATTATATAAAATAGTTTTCGGATATATAACTAAATGAGCTTATAGCTCAATTGGTAAGGGCTCTTGTGATATAAGGGTAGGAGGTCTCGGGTTCTAGCTTTCCCCCATATTCTTTATGCTAATTATTTCACTTTTTCAAATAAACTTCGAAAATGGTCCTGTGGTTTATCAAATGTTACGAATTCAGTCCCTTTATACTTAAAAAAAACGAAAATGCCCTTATAGATTCAGTCCCTAACGGTTCAATACGTTAGTAAAAAGGACCATCTTTGCAAGTTTTGCAAATCACAAGGACCATTTACATCAAAAAAAAATAGTAGAGACTAACTTTGTGACTTTTAGCAAATCATAGGGACCATTTTTGTAATTTTATCTTTTTTCGGTTAAAAAGACCGTCCTAATATTCACCACCGAAATAATGTTTTTCTTTCTTTCTTTCTTATATTCAAAATGAATATGGTTTTATAATAAAAAGGTTAATTTGGGTCTCAAACATGTGCATACTGCATAAACCATATTTTTCCACGTAATATTCTGATAGGTATGATTTAATTATCCAAGAAAGAGTAGGAAAGAATAAACAAACATATGACAACATAAATTAAATATTACATCTTTCTTTCATCTTTTTCACAATTCACAAACCTTAATTTTTTTTTTTTTCCAAATATTACACCTCCAAAAACCCCTTTGCCACATGGATTTGAAAACGACCAAAGAAAGAAACCCACCTCAAAATTTTGATCTTTGTTCTTTGAACAACTCTATATCCTCCTTTCAATAATCTGATCCAAAATCATATATTTTCATTAAAAACTAGAATAAATAAAAAGTAAATAAATAAAAATAAATTCTTTAATTCAAGTTTACTTCACTCACCATCATGTTTCTTCGCTAGATTTTTAGCAAACAATAAACATATCACCAAGAATCCAACTCCTGCTGCCCCTCCCAAGAATATCGCTACAGTTTTCCCTGTATTTGATCCAGTATCTACAAACCCAAATCAAAAAATTCACCAAATTTCAATCAAAATCATTAGATTTAAAAGACGATGGTAATAAGTTAATCAGTTAATCACATAATCAACCATACCTGATGACGATGAAGAAGAAGAATATGGTGAAGAATATGAAGAAGACGAAGATGATGATGAAGAAGGCGATGAAGATGATGAAGAATACGAAGAAGACGATGAAGATGAAGATGATGATTTCTTGGGATTCGGGATTCCATTAGGGTAATAACTGTAACTAACGAAGCATTTATGAAGATAAACTTGTCCAGAAATGGAGCTTCCACATTCAACTTGAGATCTCTGAACAGCACTTTTAACACAATCTCCACAATCAGAGCTTCCTAAATCACCTTCACATTGCCCCAAAACATAAATCGATTCATAATTCGTCGTATAAAATCCACCCTTTCCACTCCCAATCCCACTTTCCAAATTTCCCAAAGCAGAATCCCTCTTCTCTTCAAACCCAACTCCACCAACGTTAGTTTCCCCACACGTCTTGTAAAGCAATTCGATTCCAGAGATTTGAGAGAATCCAGCGACTTCATAAAGCATATAACAACCCAAAAGCTGGAGTCTTGCAGCGACTGTCTTCCCACAGAGCTTGTCCATCAAGATTGGGAGTCTGCTCACACAGTTATAGCAATCGAGATTCGTTAGATCGCCTCTACATTGAAAAAGACCGGTGATTGATGCTTGACCACTGCCACTTGTCGTTTTGAAGAACATCGCTTTTGACGACTGTTGAATCAGAGTCCCGAAAATGGCGGAAAGGGCAGAGGAGTAAACTCCATTGGGATCTTGTAAAGATTGTTTTGCACATCCTTTGTATACTAAATTGGTGTTATCTGGTGCAGATTTAACCACTTGAATGATGATGGGAAATAAGAACAAGAACAAGGAGAAGGGTATTATGGGTAAGTGAGAACACATATTTGAGATGGTTTTTGGATGGACTAAATCGTCATGTGTAGGGGAATTTGGGAGAGATTTGAGAGGGGGATGTTTGAAAAAGTGATGGTTTTTTTATTCTTGAAGTAAAATTTTAGGTTTTGGGGTTGGCATAAATTTGAACTTTACGAGGATATTGGATACGCACAGGGTATGAGTATCAACTTTAACTAGGGTAGCACTATTTCAGAAAAAACAAGTGCATGTCATGTGATATATATATATATATATATATATATATATATATATATATATATATATATATATATATATATATATATATATATATATATATATATATATATATATGGCTAGGTTCAAATGTTCTTGACATCTATTGTGTGCCCATATGCACAAATCTGGATCAACGGATGAAATAGAATCAATGATCTTGATCTGAGGATCTATGATATTAAAATAGGGTAACATGTACCATATAATAACATAAATTTCACCATAAGGGTATTTTGGTTAATTAACCTATATTAAAAAAAGAAATTTTCAGATTTTAAGGGATAATTAATACCCTTATTTTTAAAAATATGAATTTTTTAAATTTAATTCGAATATAATTTTTAATAATATCCGATTTCATTCTGTTAGAATGACATGAAAATCAACCATAAACTAGTAAATATATTTTTGATTTTATTCTTGTAGAATATGATTATATTCAATATTTATATATATTAACATGCTTAAAGAATTATATTACATATTATCAACACTAACATTTTATAAAGAATACATGTCTTCTTGCACTAATAATATATCAAATAATTACATTGTATGATTGTGATACAAAGAACATTCTTGAATAACAACAAATATCTGAAAGAATGACAAGTGTAATTGTTTAAAACATAACAAGATTCTTAAAATGTGAGTGTGATCAATCTTTGATTCATTCTTCAAACATTTCCTATCATGTCTTCAAACCATTCTTCAATCAATTCCTATAAAAAAATGCAACAAAAACTAAGAATGGTTAAAAAAAATATCGTATTCTTTAAGAATGACTTTACTGAACATGTTCATTCTGTGGAAAAATATCATAGCAAATCTATTACAAAAAAGGCAAACACAAATTCTAAAAGAATCATTAACTCTAAAGTGCAATTACCATTACTGCACTACCATTATTCTGACAGAATATATATATATATATATATATATATATATATATATATATATATATATATATATATATATATATATATATATATGCCATTTTAAATTTTGGCAGAATGCATATAATATTTTAAATTGACATTATGGGTTGTAATTCTGATAGAATATAGCAAATATTAAAAAAATTGTAACTTATTCTAATAGAATGTAATCTTCAAAGTATAAATTTTGATAAAATTCAACACGTTCATTCTGTGATCAATCGGAAGACATGAATAAAAAAAATACCTAGATTTCACCGGAGAAGAAGAATCGGCGACCACCACCACATCCTCTCCACCTCCTGACCTGCTTCGATCGGAGCAACAGCCCCACCCCGTTGCTTCTCCTTTTGTTCTTCGGTCTAATCACTCATCGGAGATCGATACCTCCTCCCCTCGCTTTCTTTCTCTTCTGTTCCCATCGATCAAGGCCTATGAATATTCGACTTCATCGTTGATTTCTTTGCCCCATCGGAACCCCTCCTGCCCTCTGATCAAACCTCTAGCACATCTTCCCTTCTACAGTAGCCCAAAACCTCTGAAACCCCACTGAATAGTATGGACCAATGCTAAGAAAACGAGAGGGAGGATAAATCGATGTATACGTGATCGGCTAGGGTTTTTTTCAACAGATTTTGACTACATCTCATATTTAAAGGGATAATAAAGAACATATTAATTATCTACCATATTTAAATATGTCAAAATTACTATAATACCCTTAAATGATTTATTTAATAATTAATTATTTCCTGAATTCTTATTGGTGCACACAGTCACACAATAGTTGTCAAAAACATTTGAACCTATCTATATATATATATATATATATATATATATAGGGTTAGGTTCATTTGAGACCACCTATATTTTGTGAGACCGTGAGACGCATTTTTTGATTTTTTTGATTTTTTTTTTAGTTAATTCATGTTCCGAAAATAATATTTAAAAAAAGAATTTTTTGATTTTTCCATTTATTTTGCATTTTAAAATTATTTTTAGAATATGTACAGTGTAATATTCTATTTAGAATATTTCACGTATTTTTCAAAAAAAAAATAAAATTTTTTTAATTTTTTTTTATTTTTTTTAGTTAATTCAAGTTCCGAAAATAATATTTAAAAAAAGAATTTTTAAATTTTTCCATTTATTTGCATTTTAAAATTATTTTTTAGAATATGTCAGTGTAATATTCTATTTAGAATATTTCACGTATTTTTTCAAAAAAAAAACGGAATTTTTTTTATTTTTTTTTATATTTTTTTTAGTTAAATCAAGTTCCGAAAATAATATTTAAAAAAAGAATTTTTGGATTTTTCCATTTATTTTGCATTTTAAAATTATTTTTAGATTTGGTCTCACGGTCTCACAAAATTAGAATGGTCTCAAATGAACCTACACCTATATATATATATATATATATATATATATATATATATATATATATATATATATATATATATATATATATATATATGTGTGTGTGTGTGTGTGTGTGAGAGAGAGAGAGAGAGAGACGTCTTAATTTTGTGAAACTGTGAGATGCATTTTTTTATTTTTTTTATTTATTTTTTTTTATAATTTTTTTAGTTAATTCAAGTTTCGAAAATAATATTAAATTTTTTTTTTTTGGATTTTTCCCTTTATTTTGCATTTTAAAATTATTTTTTAGAATATGTCAGTGTAATATTCTATTATAATATTTCACGTATTTTTAAAAAAAAATGGAATTTATTTTTATTTTTTTTAGTTAATTCAAGTTCCGAAAATAATATTTTAAAAAAGAATTATTAGATTTTTCCATTTATTCTACATTTTAAAATTATTTTTTAGAATATGTCAGTGTAATATTCTATTAGAATATTTCACTTATTTTTCAAAAAAAACGGATTTTTTTTATTTTTTTATATATTTTTTAGTTAATTCAATAAAAATAAAAAATAAAAATTTAAGATTTTTTATGATATTTTGGAACACATTATTTATTGTACATTATTAATCTTGCAACACTTCTTTATACACCACATTTGATATTGCACATTGAGTGATTTTCTAGATTTATCAGAATCTTAAACCATGAGTCAATTGTTTTCCATCCGGATGAAACAGTTGCAAGTTTCCATTCAATGATTAGTTTCACAGCGAGTTGTGATTAGTTATTCAGTGGGTTGTGATTATTTCTAATACATATCATATTTCAAAGAAGGCACAAGATATCCACAAAAGAAAACATTGGTTGTCTGTTTCGGCTTCAAATATATTTAACCGAATAATAACAATAAAAATGACATTTAACTTTTTGCAAAATCTTTACGTATAAGAGTTTGACTTTAAAAATATACAAATAATCAAATTATAAACCAAAGCCATATATATAAAATATGGCTAAAATGTTAAAAACCTTGATTTATGTATGTTTAGTCCTTTATATGTAATTTATCAATAAACTTATATTAATATAAAATTTAATAAAATTTAGCCAACTGACTATATAAATTGTTTTTTACACACTTATTTACACATTTATATTAAAGCCTAATACACCATCAAAATTTGACCAAAATTTCTTTAAAAAGTTTGCTAACTTTCTTTTATAATTAGTGTTTTTTTTATAAATTTATTTATTAAAAAAGTGTACAAAATAATGAATTTTTTATACTTTGTGTAATAAAAGTAGTGTAGGAAAAAAATCCATGATTTACACGTCAAATTAAATATTTTTGAGATATTATCCTAAATAGTAATTATTTTAATTATAAAACTGATTTCTCAAACTTTTAACGGAAAATACAATTTAATTAACAAATTTAAACAAACAGATACGTCTTACTCTATGTAGGTAAACAACAATTTCGTAACATAATTTTAACTAAATCGAACTTTCTAAAGAGAAATAGAATGTATGAGGTTCATATAATATTCTAGCAAGATTAGTATATACCAGTTTTGAAAAGTTTTTAATAAATATTTGAATGACTAATTTTAAATGAAATTAATAACTTGTTAAAACATATTTTCAACTAAAAGATATATTTAAACATTAATGTGATGCACCATATAATTCTACAGAAAGCAATTCAAATAATATTACAACGACATAAGCATGCCAAATGACATAAAACGATGTCACTTGCTCCTCTAAACAGTCTACAATAGAATGTAACACAAATAACACATTTAACAATCCTAATTTAACCTGTAAAAATAATCATGCTCCTCAAATTCGGCTCCTAAACACATTATAATTTTTTATTGAGCGACACATGTAGTCACTTTTTGTCCTTGTGAACTTAGCTCTATAAAAAGTGCAAGTGATGATATGGTAAACTTATTAGGGATTGAAACATTTAAGCTTTTGAAATAAGCATTTTGAATAATGTTTAAGCAAAGATTTCAAATACAATGAACTTTTTTTTGACACCACTTATAGTCACATTTTTATTCAGTTTGCCTTTTTTCCTTCAAAATAAAGCTTGGTAATGGGAGAGGGTATGCTAGTTTTTATTTTTTGAACAACATGTGCTGCATTCAAAATGAATACCACATTACTAAAAGAGAAACAACTTTACCCATGGGGTTTTTTAGTAATCTTCTTGGTTAGGTAATAAATGCATACAAAAAGAATTTACATATGTAAGATAATTAAGCAATAGAAATGGACAATAAATGAGAAACCCATAAAAAAACAAAAGGGCCATAAATCAACAAATATGAGAGTTGAGTGGTAACATGTGTTACCTTATCAATATTTCAACCATCTATGTAGTTTATCAACATGTCCTTAGATGAATATACAGATACCGACTCTATTACATGGTCACAAAAACCTAAATCGAAAAAAAAGCATACAACTATGCCGTATTATGATATGTATAGTAATGGGGGAACATGGGACAAAAAATAAATCCAATTGGTTTCAGACTTGGTACAACCCAAGGTCATCATTCCCTTTGGTTCGCACAACCAAAAAATTATTCTGAGGGTCTGCAAGAAGATAAAAAAAATAAGAACTTATTGCCATTGATAGTTCTCT